GACGGTAATGCTGGGGGGTCTGTACTGCGCGGCTGAGCTGAAGTTGGACACCTGAGGCAGCAATTTCCGCACAAAGTGCCCAACTTCAGCTCGGCGGCGCTAGTAAAGTAGAGTAGTGAGAAACCTTATTTCATAAGTTATGTATCAATGAATACCTTGACAAGAACCAAGTTAAGGCTTTGTACCACCTGCGATATGATGGAATTACCACGCGGAGTTGCCAAACCTCCGTCAGGCAATATCAGGCAATCTCACAACAGTAGATATTATCTGCACAAGTACTCAAGCCACCACGTCTGATTCAAGCAGTAGAGCAATAAAAGTTAAGCAAGTATGTCGCATCATACTCGGGGAGAAACGGGTGGAAAGCCAATCCTCCTAGCCAAGATGTTCACGATTGTTTGAAACAGAGAGACCAGTCCCATCTCTCCAATTCTGGTGCCCCAAACCAGTGTGAGGTCCGCTTGCACGACACCAGGTCCATAAGACGGCCGGAGCAGTGCGGATACTCTCGGCCCCCTCGAGCACCACCTACTTCCCAAATTCTCAGGGGCAGTAGCCGCAAAATCTCCCAAATCAATATCAGCATTGAGCCCTCAATTTTGGAAGGAAATGTCAGTAACTGCTTGGTACAAAGTCCCCTATTGTTGGCCCACCGGTATCATACCTGCTAGCGTATCTGCGGAGAGGAAAGGGTTTGGTTGCAAGCTCTCAGTGTTTGGGGCAATGTTGAGTGCGCTCTGTGCTAGGACAAATGTCGTCAAAATATCCAACTATCATTGTAAACAACCCTCCCCCCCTTACGTCACACACTCAAATACGAACCGAACCAGCCAGAAAAGCTCCTCGTCCCTGATGATCCACCAAAACCCACTCGAGTATAATACAGTACCGTATCAAGGGTAGGTGGATAGATTAGGCCTTCCACCAAGGACACAACAGCGGCAGGCACGAAAGCCAGACATAGATCTCTTCCGAAGAATCACTACCTGGCGGAGACCCGGTATGATACTTTGTTAATGCAGTACCGACAACCTTTCCCCGCAATAGCTACAAACACTACAAACTTTTGATCCATGAAAATACTGTGATTCATGGAATAGCAAACCGGTTCTGCTCGCGTCTCCCGCAGCCAAGAATGAGCACCTCTATTGGAACAGCCCCCCCCTCCCCCCGTGGACCCATAAAAATGTTCGAGCGGTTCGAAAGACCTTGCAAGCGGGGCAAGACGCCCGTATCCTGTCACACATGACAACAACTCACAAGGAAATCAGACATGTTCCTTCCCCGCCGCAAAATTCCGCCAGAGATGAACGAGATTGAACCATGAAGTGGACCATAATCTTATCTGCAGAAGCGGGGAAGCAACACAACGTCTAATGCTCGATAGAGAGCCATTCCCGGAGTCGGGGAATATCACTGTTTATTCACGGTACTTTTTTGTGGGTTCCGCGGGTGCTATTCCAAAAGAAGTGCCGTAATTTACCCATTCTTAACGCGAAGACAGGAACACCGGTACTGTACGAGTATTTGTGCTCGTGCAACTACCATGACCCACCCGAAAAAGCTTGACACCAGACACTACTCCAGCGGCTGAGTTGATGTTGGACACCCAAGCTTGCAATTCCCACAGAAAGCGCCCAACATCAACTCGGCCGCGGGAGGAGGGGCGGGTGTTTAGCAATCACATAATCTGTTATCAAATCGCGTTTCGCAAAGACGATTCCGAACCGACCAATCATGATAACACCAAGGGAGATCGTGTAAGCAGGCTTTTACCGTTTACGCTGTGATTGGTCCACCAAATCGCATGTAACAAAACGCGATTTCAACACAAATTATGCGTTTGCCAAACACCCCCCCCCCCCCCAGTTACTGTACCCGAGTAGTTACTACTATCAGACGTC